ACAGATTATTCAAAGCGGGTGAATGCAGCCCAGAAATGAAACATCGGATTGCAGTGGGTCACACAGCAATGAGGAACATGAATCACATATGGAAAAGCAAGGACATCAATCAGCCGGGCAAACAAACGTAGGTTATTTCACTCTACTGTGTTCCCTGTAGCTACCTATGGTAGCGAAAGCTGGACTTTAAAAAAACAAGACTGGAAGAAAATTGACTCATTTGGCCTGTGATGCTGGAGAAGGCTCCTGCGTGTTCCTTGGAGAGCAAAGGTGACTAACAAGCAGGTACAGGAGCGCCTAACGCCAGACATGCCACTAAGACGGCAAAATCTCAAAACTCTGTCTCACTTATTTTGGCCAGGTCATGCAGGAGAATTCAATTTTGGAGAAAGCAATTATGTTGAGAAAAGTTTGTGGTAAAAGGAAACCGGGTCACCAAAGAACAAGGTGGCTGGACACCCATCAAAACCGACACCAGCCAGAGCAAAGGAAAACTCAAAAAAGCAGAGCAAGATCGGAAGGCGTGGAGAGGCCTGGCCCAGAGAATTGCTGAGTCGGACATGATCGAGTGGATAATATCTTAATTATTCCTACCTAGCTGGAGAGCCAGGTGAATGGGAATGCTGAATAGTGGGCAAGATTCTCAGGATATTGGAAGTGCTAGCTTGGGACAACCTAAACAGCACAGAAAAGAAGAAGGGAGGTGGGGATAAAGAAGGGAGGGAGAGATGGAAGGGAGGATAGAGAGAAGGGAGGTGGGGATAAAGAAGGAAGGGAGAAAGGAAGGAGGGAGGGAGGATAGAGAGAAGGGAGGGAGGTGGGGATAAAGAAAGAAGGGAGAAAGGAGGGAGGGAGGGTAGACAGAAGGAAGGGAGGATAGAGAGAAGGGAGGGAAGGAAGGAGGGTAGAGAGATGGAAGGGAGGATAAAGAGAAGGGAGGTGGGGATAAAGAAAGAAGGAAGGGAGAAAGGAAGGAGGGAGGGAGGGTAGAGAGAAGGAAGGGAGGATAGAGAGAATGGAGGTGGGGATAAAGAAGGGAGAAAGGAAGAAGGGAGGGAGGGAGGGAAGGAGGGTAGAGAGATGGAAGGGAGGATAGAGAGAAGGGAGGGAGGGAGGTGGGGATAAAGAAGGAAGGAAGGGAGAGAGGAAGGAAGGATAGAGGGAAGGAAGGAAGGAAGGGAAGGAGGAAGAGAGGGAGGATAGAGAGAAGGAAGAAAGGGAGGGGGAGAGAGAGGGAGGATACAGAGAAGGGAAGGAAGGAAGGAAGGAAGGAAGGAAGGAAGGAAGGAAGGAAGGAAGGAAGGAAGGAAGGAAGGAAGAAAGGAAGGACAACATTGATTCTTTCAAATGCTAACTTTCAGTTTGAACAGAGCCCCTGTTGTGTCTGTGAAGGTTAAGGTACCGCCTGTATTTTGCTGCTGTTTAAAAAGCTCACCTTTAGCCAGCGGAGGAAAAGGAAAGAATTACGGGCTTCTTACACGGAAGTGAAAAAGAGGACACAAAAATGCTTCTAGAGCAACCCACCACCAGGGGGCGCCATGCCCTTCAAAATGTCAATAAGGCACTAATTAAAATGCAGCTGGAATGAACCGATTTAAAGGGATGGAAATCCCTCATTGTAAAGATGTTCATGTAACGTTGAGCTATAGATTAAAGCTGAGGCTAAGAGAAGCACATTGACGAACAGGAAAAGTGACATTATGCTAGATGACAAGCAATGTTCGTGGGAAAGGCGTAATGCATCTGTTTCGGAAAAGGTAGCTGCCTACTTAATGTCTGTTCCAAGTTACCACAGAGCCCCCTGCAGCGACGTGTGGCCGGTTTTCAAAGTTATGACAGCTGCACACACACACACACACACACACACACACACACACACGGACATCTCCGGGTCACGAATAAAACTCAAACCTAGATCATGCCATTGTGCACCAAAAGTGCACGTACTCCTCAACGTACGACCATGACTGAGCCCCAAATTTATGTTGCTAAGCGAGACATTTGCCAAGCAAGCTTTGCCCCATTTTATGACCTTTCTTGCTACAGTTGTTAAGTGAATCCCTGCAGTTATTAAGTTAGTAATGTGGTTGTTAAATGAATCTGACTTCCCCACTGACTCTGCTTGTCAAGTCGCAAAAGGGGGATCATGTGACCCCGGGACACTGCAACCGTCATAAACATGAGTCAGTCGTCAAATGGCTGAATTTGATCACATGATCATGGGGATGCTCCAATGGTTGTGTGAAAAATGATTGTCACTTTTTTTCAGTGCCGTTGTAACTTCGGTCACTAAACGAACTGTTGTAAGTCAAGGACAACCTGTACAGTTGTACGTGTCACATTGGGCATGGGATTTTACAGTTATGTAGAATTGCAGATACTTTTTCCTTCCTTCAGGAGGGAAGGATCCTTGCGTAATTAATAGAAATATTATATTATCAATATTGTATTGATAATACAATAGTTCGTAAAAAGAAGTCGACCAGCATAGATTCTTTAATTCACGAATAGCACAATAACGCAACCATCTGAGATTTAAAACAACCGGTAAGAACAGAATCCAGCAGCATCACAATTATGGAGTCAAAAGCATGGAGAAGGCAGATGGCAAGCAGAGAAGGGCATTCATTTAAGGATTCCTCCAATGCTTTCAAAGGCAGCTGCTGTGCGAAAGGGCTTCACGGAAATTAACTGATCAGTGTATTCAGTTTTAAACTCAAAGAGATCCAGAATGAGAGTTTGTTATTAATACTCAATGGTTCTCTCTCTTTCCCTCTCCCCCTTCTGTCTTGTGTGTGTGTGTGTGTGTGTGTGTGTGTGTGTGTGTGTAGGGGTATGTGTGTGTGTAGCTACCAAATCAGTACCTATTTCTTCCTTCTAAAAATAGAATTACACTCCAGATGGTGAGAATTTATATCTAGCTCAATCTGCTGATTTATGTAAATAGATGCAAAGCCAAATCAGAGGAGGGAAGGAAGAGTGAAAGCAAAGTCAGCAAGCCAGCAATCTTTCTCTTTTGGGTTCTTTGCTTCCTTCTCTGATTTATCCCCGCTCCATTGAATTTTATTTGCATTTGGCTGATCAGATTGAATTTTTTAGTCTCACTCAGTCTGCCATTATCATCGCAGCCACGCCCACCCAGTGGGCCACGCCCACCCGGAACCCGATTATACATAAGTGGGTTTTGGGTTGCAGTTTCTAAAAGGTTTGCCATCACTGGTATAGGGTCTCCTGCTTGATCAGGGGGTTGGATTAGAAGACCTCCAAGGTCCCTTCCAACTATTCTATTCTATATTCTATTTCCTATTCTATTCTTATTTCCTATTCTATTCTTATTTCCTATTCTATTCTATTCTATTCTATTCTTTCCTATTCTATTCTATTCTTATTTCCTATTCTATTCTATTTCCTATTCTATTCTTATTTCCTATTCTATTCTATTCTATTCTATTCTATTCTTATTTCCTATTCTCTTCCACTCCACAAACTCTTCTCTCTCGGCATAAGCCAGCCGTGAATGTTTCATGCACCCTGGGGACGGAAAAGAAGGCTTAGTCACCAACAGGAAAGCATCACCTACGCGTTCAACCGCGTGTAGCTCTTGCCGAAGTCAATCCCTTGCAGGCAGAAAACTCGCATCTCAGCGGGAGGAAACGAAAGTCGCTTTCACCGGTCATTTGGGGTTTTTTTCCTGGGAGGCTGGACGGCCGCTCCCTGGCCTCCCATTGCAAAGGGCTCCCGGGGGCAGGAAGCGGGCTCCAGCAAGCCGGCTAGCTAGACAGAGCCTCGTGCGCGGCGCGCCTGCTGCCTTGAGAACCGAGTAGAGAAGAACAACTAGATTGTCCCTTTAAAGGTGCCCTGTAATCAGCATAGGCCGAAATGAGATTTCGTGGCTGGCAGCTCTCAAAGGGCGACCCCCTCCAACACACGCTGCATCAAGCTGAGAAAGAAAGAAAGAAAGAAAGAAAGAAAGAAAGAAAGAAAGAAAGAAAGAAAGAAAGAAAGAAAGAAAGAAAGAAAGAAAGAAAGAAAGAAAGAAAGAAAGAGAAGGAAGGAAGAAAAGGAAGGAAGAGGAAGGAGGAAGAAAAGGAAGGAAGAGAAAGGAAGGAATAAAAGGAAGAGAAAGAAAGAAAGAAAAGAGAAGGAAGGAAAGAAGAAAAGGAAGGAAGAGGAAGGAGGAAGAAAAGAAAGGAAGAGAAAGGAAGGAGGAAGAAAAGGAAGGAAGAGAAAGAAAGAAGGAAGAGAAAGAAAGAAAGAAGAGGAAGGAGGAAGAAAAGGAAGGAAGAAAAGAAAGGAAGAGAAAGAAAGGAAGGAAGAAAAGGAAGGAAGAGAAAGAAAGAAGGAAGACAAAGAAAGAAAGAAGAGAAAGAAAGAAAGAAAGAGAAGGAAGGAAGGAAGAAAAGAAAGGAAGGAAGAGGAAGGAAGGAAGAAAAGAAAGAAAGGAAGAAAAGGAAGGAAGAGAAAGAAAGAAGGAAGAGAAAGAAAGAAAGAGAAGGAAGGAAGGAAGAAAAGGAAGAGAAAGAAAGAAAGAGAAGGAAGGAAGGAAGAAAAGGAAGGAAGGAAGAGAAAGAAAGAAAGAAAGAAAGAAAGAAAGAAAGAAAGAAAGAAAGAAAGAAAGAAAAAGGCAGGGAAAGGAAGAGAAAGGAAGAATATCTCCCCCCCCCCACACACACACACACCCGTGGCCCAGAGAAACGGCAGGAAATTTCCACGTGCAGGGAAGGCCCCACTTCCTCCTCCCAGAAGGGTCCCCCCCCTCCCCACCCCCAGTCCCGCCATACAGCCGCAGCCCCAGCCGGGCTACCCCGAGACCAAAGCGCCCCGCCGCCCCTTGTCCGTTGAGCTGCTAACTTGCTACGCGCGGGGGAAGTGTGTGTGTGGGAGGGGGAGCGCGGGCGGCCGCCCCGCTTCCCCCGGAGCTCTCGCCGCGCAAGTGCGGCCGCCTCCGGCCCTCCCCGGCCCGCCAAGAGCCGCCTTCCGAGAGGCGGAGCGGGCGGTCCCGGGCAGCCAATCTGCGGCGCCCCGGCGGCTGGTCGGGCCGAGCCCAGCGCGTCGGCGGGGGATGCTGGTGGGCTGGCGGCGGTGGAGAGGAGCTGCGCGGCCACATTGTTGCGTCCCTGCGGCGGGCGAGCGAGCTCCCCGCCAGGCGCGGCTGCGGCTCTCCCGGGGCTGGGAAGGCGGAGCGCGGCGGTGGGTGCCTCGCCCCGATCCCCGCTTGGCTGGAGGGAGCTGCGAGGCCGGAGGGAGCGCGGGGGGAGGGGAAGGGAGGGGGGTCCTTCCCTCCCTCTCTTCCCCTCCCCTCCAGGCATTGAGGGCGGGGGGGGGGAGGCAAGACGGGGAGTGCAGAAGATCTTCCTGCCCCCCTTCCCTCCCTCCCCCTAAGGCCCTGGCAGAGAGACTGGTGCTTTGGGCTCCCTTTCCTTCCCTTGCCCCCTCCCCCTCTTTTCCCCGCCTTTCCTCCTCCCCCTCCCGCAGCTGCTGCCCAAATGCCCTCCCTCGCAGGGGTGTCGTGCAGAGGTGGCCTCCGCCCCAGCCAGTTCAGCAGCCAGCAAAGCGTCAGAGAGGTTAGGTAGCTGCTTTCCTCGCCCGGCTGGGAGCTGGCTGGGGGGGGGTGAGCCCGTCTTAGTGGGGTTCTTGCTTGGCTTGGATGTTGAGGAGGGGGGCGACGATGGGAGGTGTAGTCCAGGTGGTTCCAATGTGGCTGATCTCGACGCCTGTCTAGGGTTGGGGGGTAACGGGCTGGACAAGTGAAGGGTCCTGGGCTAAGCTAGGTTGTTCTTCTTTTCTTACAGGTTCTGCTCCTGGGGCCGTCTGAACCACCCCCCAGTCCTGGCTTCCGAGAGTGGGCAGGCAATCTGCGAAGGAGGGGCTCCTGGCATTTCATGGTTCGCCCCCTGGATGGTGTCTTGGCTTTGATCTTCTCCCACTCGCCTCTGCTCCCTCCCAACCCAGGCGGGGAGGCCCCCTGGACCATGAGTCGCTACAGCTTCTCCAACCTGATGGACTGGATATACGGCGGGGTGGACCCCAGCTTTGAAGGCAACGGGGGTCGCGAGTGCGCCTCCTTCCTCCCCTGGGAGCAGCGTCTGCTGGAGAGCGTGGTCTTCATCCTCATGGGAATCCTGGAGGTCCTGGTCTCTCTGCGGAAGATCGGACGGTCCACGGCCAAGGAAGCTGCTGACCGCTTGGCTCAGTCCCGGGTCAAGGAGGAATGTTGGGTCAAAAACCTCTTGCTGGTGACCTTCTGCCTGACTTTTGGGCTGGAGGTGGGATTCAAGTTTGCATCCCGGACGGTCATCTACTTGCTCAACCCATGTCATGTGGTCACGATGATGCAGGTAAGGAGCTGTGCTCCTCCAGGTAGTTTGAACTACTAGGAGAAGAGAATATTTGTAGCTGGAGCTTGAACTGGGCTGGGAAGTCCTTGGTGCTCTCTGAGCTTGGTGGTTTTCTTGAAGAGGCTTCAGATCTATATGGGTAACGAAAAACCAGCAAACTCAGAGAGCACCAAGGACCCCCACGGTTTGTACTATAGCTACCATCGTCCACAGCCATCTAGTCAGCCTCAAGATGGCCAAGGTAGGTTGAAATATGGGAAAGGCCATTTGTATCCAAAAAGCCGGCTGTTTTTATTTTAGCCAAGAGTTTATTTTTATTTCCTTTTTTTTATCAGTGCCAAAGTTTATTTTGCAACTGGTCTCTCTGCCTCTCCTTAGCAAAGAGGTGAAGTTGGGAACAGATCCAGCATTCAAATATTTGAGAAAATCCAAATCTCTTTTGTAGTCTCTGAAAGACTGCAAGGCTGGTGCCACCAACGGGGTCTCCTGGGGAAGCTCTTTCAGGACCAATCTGTGGGCTGGCTTCTCCCCCCTCCCCAGTTATAGGAGGAACCTAGGAATGTGAGTTGAATGTTACCAGCTATTTTTGTGTTTGTGGGTAGTTGTTTTCCCACTCCTCCTTGATCACAAAGTTCAGCCAAAGATACTTAAAAGTAAATGGCAAAGTACAGTGGGTTGCATAAACAGAGGGATAGAATCAAGATCAAAGCATTAATACCGCTTTACAAAACCTTAGTAAGACCACATCTGGAATACTGCATCCCGTTTTGGTCACCCCATTATAAAACAAATGTTGAGACTCGGAAAAAGTGCAGAGAAGAGTAACTGAGATGATGAAGGGCCTGGAGACTAAAACATATGAAGAACAGTTGCAGGAACTGGACCGTAGCTAGTCTAGAGAAAAGAAGAAATAGGGGTGATATCATAGCAGCATTCCAGTACCTGAGGGGCTGCCACAAAGAAGAGGGAAGGGGGTCAACCTATTCTCCAAAGCACCTGAAGGCAGGACAAGAAGCAACGGATGGAAACTAATCCAGGAGCTGCTGTTCTAATAGCCTTTCTGGAGACCTTCAAGAGATGCTAAGATTAGTTTCAGGAGAGATGGAAGAGGTGCCTTTTTCAAAAGGCAACTGTACTTCCTTGTTTTGCTAGAAGACATTTCACTTCTCATCCAAGAAGCTTCTTCAGTTCTGACTGACTGGTGGATAAACCTCCCAGTGGCCTCAGTGACTCTCAGAAAGAGCGCTAACGACCAGATGACTGCAAGGAATATAAACCCTTCCATCCTCCATCATTCGGTCAGAGTTGCAGAAGCTTCTTGGATGAGAAGCGAAACGTCTTCAAGGAAAAATAAGGTCCACTTGCCTTTTGGAAAAACACTTTTGCAAGAACCATGAGCTGGATGACTGAATAGGGCTCTATTGCTCTGGAAAAGGAAAGCTGGCAGGTGTCCACGGAGATTCTCTGTCGTCCAGGTTATCGTTATCCCAAAGGTGCTTTTCCAAAAGACAAGTGGACTTTCTTGATTTTTTTCCTTTGAAAACATTCCGCTTCTCATCCAAGCAAGTGGACTTGTTTGTTTGTTTGTGTCCAATTTTACTAACAGCAATATTTCTTTAAGCCAGGCGGCCACTGGGCTTCTACTCTTTGACCAGCAGCTAGCTCAGTCCACTTTCTGGGGAAACGTATGAAATCCAGAGGCCATCCAGTTAGCAAAACCATTTCCCTTGGTCCAACGTTCAGAGTAGTTGTTTGTCAGCTTTCAGTGTGCGCGGGAAAAGCCATTTTAACCAGGTGCATAAAACCAAACAGAACTCAAAGGGAGATCTGTAGGAAAAGGCACGAAGTTAAACAAGCTTTAAAGTTTGTTTTAGTCTTAACTTGGTGATAGTGGAACTGTCCATGATTAGGACACGGCTGGAAAGAAAGTGACACAAGGACAAAGAAGGCAGGGAAGCAAGAAGGTTAAATTCTGGGTTCTGGAAGCATTGAGACTGCAATGAAATATGAGGGGTGGGGGTGTCACCCGAAGCCCCACATTGGACAACCCCACTTTTGGGGTCACCAAAACTACTGCCCACCACCCTTGCTGCAATTTAGTGGGACGGTCTATAACAGGGGTCTCCAACCTTGGCGACTTCAAGACTTGTGGACTTCAACTCCCAGAATTCTGAACTCCACAAGTCTTAAAAGTCGCCAAGGTTGGAGACCCCTGATCTATAAGGCCTTCACTCTTATCTATAAGTCTGTTCGCTAGAAATGGTGCAGCTTTACTACTTTATCAGAAGTCAGGATTTTGGTTGGAATATGCCAAAGTATTGGACTAGTTAATTGATTTGGACAATTGAGCTGTATAAATTATTTAGACTGTTTGATCAATTATTTTGGATTTTTGTCCGTGTGTGCGTGTTTCGGTCTGAGCAACCGTGAGAGTAAGGAGGGGTGTCTAATATAGGAAGGTAAAGAAATCATATTCATAATCTGTACTAAACATGCTCTTGAAAAAGACGTTTATGCAAAGTTTCACAATCCCCATTTCTACCGAAAGAGACATTTAGGGTGGAGAACAGTTACTCAACTTTAGCCATTTCCACAACAGGTATGGATGCGAAACAATAAAATTACATTGGCGTCATCATATAAGGAAAATTCGTATAAGATGATTTATAGATGGCATCTCCCTCCAGCAAGACTAGCCAAAATGTATAAAGGATACTCAGCCTTATGTTGGAAATGTAAAAAAGGGGAACTTTTTTTCATGTGTGGTGGTCATGTAAGGAAACACAGGGGTATTGGCATATGGTTTGGAAATGGGTAACAGAAATGAGCATACAAAATATTCAATATAAGCCTGAGACATTTTTGTTAGGAATTGTTGAAGAAAATGTTAGTAAAGAGGCTATGTATTTATTTATTCATGTGGTTACAGCGGCAAGAATAAGTATTCGCTCAGAATTGGAAAAATACAGCTGTACCTAGTGAGGAAATTTTAATTTATGCATTGCGCAGAATTAGATAGGTTAACTAAAAGACTCAAAAATCAGGATGTTATGGATTTTTACCAAATATGGAATAAATTTTATAAATGGTGGGGAAAAAAATTTGGAGGTCTCTGGGATGAGATAAGTTAAGATTGACTTTAGAGTGATGTTTTTGTATAGAGTTTAATTAATTATGAATAGGAATGAACTGAGATGTTGGTCAAGTCTCATTTACCATGTTCAATGTTTTTAAATTTTTTCTTTTTTTGTTATTTAATAAAAATTTATAATTTAAAAAAATTTTTTTAGCCATTTCCAGATGTGCACGTATCAACTCCAATAGCAGGGAATTCTGGAAGTTGAAGGCTACGCAGCTGGAAGTGGCCACACCTTAGCAACAAAGCCAAGGGATTGAGTTTTGAGACTACCGAGCCCATAATTATTTGCCATTGAGCCTGTTGTTTAAGGCTGATGGGAGTTAAAATCCAACAGGTCAGGAGAGTCAGTGGTGGTTCTCCCACTGGTGTAGACAGTGATGGCGAGCCTTTTAGAGACCGAGTGCCCAAACTGCAACCCAAAACCCACTTATTATTGTAAGGACCCACCCCACTTTGCATCTTAAGAAGACAGAACTCTTGGAATAATTCTTCCAACAGGAATCCTTTATTAAGAGAAAATGGTTGCAGGCATGCTAGACAGGACTTGGGGTCCAAGCTCTCCCATTCAAGGTTTTAAGGGGTTCCCCAGTAGTCCCACCCAATCAACCCCCCTTCCAGTGATAGTTTCAAGTATCACAATTCCACTCCCTTTCTTCTTTCTTCCGTCTGGATGGAGACTTCAGATAACTACATGAAAGGCAACTTCCCTCCTTTGGTATGTTAACGCTTCGAGGTTACAATAAACACACATTCAGCATTCAGCTCTTTGAAGTGTAAAGAAGGAAGTGAGGGCCATAAAGCCCCTTTGTTCTCCCCCTTCTCTCCCTCTTATGGCAGAATCCAGAGAAGGCAGAATTGGGAGTTTCTATATTTGATAATTTAAAGATGAAATATAATTGGATTCTGACATCTATCGTCGGGTGCCGGGTGGGTGTGGCCATTGGGTAGGCGTGGCTTCGGTGGTAATGGCAGACTGGGTGGGACTAAAAAGTTCAATCAATCAATTCCAACTGTGCAAGATCTTTTTTTTTCCTCGCAAGAAGTTGAAATTGAGTGATTGAACCTTTTTTTTTTTTTTGGGACACAGCAGTGGAGGTCTAAATCAAAAAAGTTTTATAAAACCCAGCTGAAGGCTTAGGACTGGGGCGATGGTGCGCCTGCCCACAGAGAGGGCTCTGCGTGCCACCTGTAGCACGCGTGCCATAGGTTCGCCACTATGGGATGTAGATAATGCTACTAGCAAACTGGTAGCCCAATAATAAAGCTCCTTGATGGGGCTTCCAGATGTTGATGAATTCCAAATGCCTGGAGGCTCATCTACAAAATGAAGTCAATAGTGAGTTGTTATCACAATCCATAGTTAGTCATCCTGCTATAATCCTAACATTTTAGGTATTTTCTTAAAACAAAATTTTCTTTCTGAAAATAATCTCTTTACCCCATGCGGCCTTAATCCAGCACGATCAGTTCGCTGGCTCTTCAATGACTCTATCCAAATATAATTATTTCTAGCCATTTCATTGGGAGAATAGCATTCTCTCGGTTTTTTTTTAAATTTAAAACAAAGATCTTTTTTAAAAAAAGTTAATCTTTATAGAGATACCAAACAGAACATGTTGAGTTGTTTTGAAAAATGAGATAACACCATTGGAGGAAGCGATAATTAAGAAAATACTGTGCGGAAATGGATAGGCTCACATTGAGAATTAAAGAAAAAGAAGATACAGAATACTTTCAAACATGGAACCTGATTTATCAATGGTTGAAAAAACGAGATGGAGACTAAGGACTTAAATTTTACGATGAAGCAAAAATTAACCCAGACAATACGTTGTTCTTTAAGCATAAATAAATTGTAATA